TATATATATATATATATATATATATATATATATATATATATATATATATATATATATATATATATATATATATATATATATATATATATATATATATATATATATATATATATATATATATATATATATATATATATATATATATATATATATATATATATATATATATATATATATATATATATATATATATATATATATATATATATATATATATATATATATATATATATATATATATATATATATATATATATATATATATATATATATATATATATATATATATATATATATATATATATATATATATATATATATATATAACTAAACGAACTTTATGGTTGTACGGCAGTGAAGCATCAGTGCCAACACTGATGTTGCTGTCACTGATGATGATGATAAACAATCGTCACGTGACAACTGACGCTAAAGAAGTGACATGGAAAGCAGAAATCTAAGCACCATGTTGTCCACTGGAAAGTGAGGTGGACCGCAGTGTTCGTAAAGTAGGGTTGATATCTTCTTGGTTTTGAATTCAAGGCCATTTTTGAGCCAGGCAAACGATTCTACACAGGTTTTAAGTAGTCTTACACTGTGCCCCATGAGTGAAGTCATTCACGATTGCCAAGTGGCTCTTGAAGCATGCGCGTTTTTCCTAAATCTTTATCAGGTCCACAAAATCTTTAGGGAGTTCGATAGAACCCCTCAAGAGGTAAGACAGAAAGTGTTTACTGTGGTCTCTTCTGGGAGACTATCGCAATTCATCTACTAAGTTATTAGTCTGCATCAATCCGAACAAGGACAAATTAGCACGTGCGATTAGTTGGGAAGCAGCACAAGGGAACACGGGAACATGAGTCGGGTTAGGTGGGTCAAGTTGGGCCATCAATTCAATTTTTCTGCTATAAACCGTGTGCCATAGGCTGCTACAGTTTCGATCACCGGTTGGGTCGTATCAAAGTTCCGTTAGTTTCCCCAAAAACCATTGCTAAATTCGTCCATCGAAAGAATCGGAGTATCCTCAAAACAATCCATTCAAAAACCGACCACGTGAATGCGGTTGGCGGTCATACTGCACGTGGGTTCCACTAGAAAACTACTAAATCATACGACAGACATCAGCTACTGGTATCTCCATACAAGTTAGATTTCCTCACAGTTCACTTGACTGCATCTTCCCGTGGCTCTCTGGGTGAAGTTCGAGCAAACTAAATTTCAAATGCTGGGTAAAATATAGCCTATTTCTATTGCAATAAATTCCAATATAAAGATATCATCCCCGTAGCCGTAGTGAATCGATACTTATTTCTTGATGGCTGTCGTGATAATAGACTAACTTTACGGAGCTGATTATAGATAGGCAATCACACGTGAGTAAATAACAAGCCAGAACTTGTAAACAAAACCCATATTGTTTACTTAACAGAAAATGGCGGATGGAACCACACGTGATTCTTTGGATTGTCTTGTATTAGACAAATCGTTTTTATGTATGTACTGGCATTACAACAATAAGAGGGGTGTGATGGCCTCACTTAGACAGGGTGACGCGGTCACAGTGAATCATTCGGCGTGAAACTGTTCACAGTACAGCTCCATCAGTCTCAGCTGGCCAGAAAAAGGCGCATGGTGGTATCCATCCAAGTTGAAGGCGAGTCAATAAGCTACATGTCAATTTGGAAAGTTTTTCCTGAAAAATCTTTCAGCTGTAACGCCATTTCGTTGCCTAGCTGCCATGCCACCCAAAGGAACCACGAAAGCTGGGATGTTGCCAGGTTGTCAGAGCTAAGACAGGGGAAGTAGAGAGACAGAGTCCCGGATGGAAAGAGCACACCACCTATAAGTTGATGGTTACGGAATAGACCCACCAAGAAGAAAAGAAGGTCGAATCTCAAGTCAGGTAGGAAGGTACTGAACAGGTTCCCACGGCACCGAGAAATGGTGCTAATGGATACACTAGTTTCACTGGTGTCCTCAAAATATACACACAACACCCCCCCCCGAAAGTATTACGACTATTGCCTAATATGACATGCCTCATGAGGTTGGCGAAAACTGCTAGAGAGCCTATCGCTTGCATAACTCCTCTTTTTGGAGAGAGACTCATCAGACAATTTACGAATTTCCATCACTCATGTTTCGTGGTTAAATACAGAGTTGTAGACGCTCAGAGATACTGGAGACAAGCACTCATTCATAAGTAAAGGCATTTACAGGAGACGTAAGTGAAACATTCGTTTTTTGCAGTATTGGGACTATTGTTCGAAGGAGGCCTCTTTGGGATTCCACAGTCAGAAACACCGAATAAATGAGCGTCTTCTGATTTCAGTACATCCATAATATGAAAGGAGTAGCCCAACAGAAAAGCTAATCTTTCCCCCTCACCTTCGGTACTTAGCTTACATTCTCAATTCGTGAACTACACACACACATGCAGCTTCAGTACCAATAAACTGGTCCCACTTCAGTCCCGTTCGCCATAACCAAACTGGATAGTGGCGACCCTCCATAAGATGAGCGAAATACTGTGTCTGTTCCAACATTGCTAGACCCCCCTGACGGAGTATGTATTTGGAGTTTGGACTACGGGATAATGGCTCATATATTCCAGAACACTCAACGAACCATGCTGGTAGGCCACGATGACAACGGATAGGCGAGACAGCAACTAATCTGTGTGAACCGATGGAAGCAACTCCATTTGCAAATATCAACGGCAGCGATGTGAATACCAAGCAAGTTACAGACACAACACTAAACGTGAATGTGCTGGCTCGAACGGTCATTTCAAAGGTCACCGGCTCGTATACATGCATCCGACTAAACCGCATCGCACGGTCACACGGGACGCTGCTGTCACAATTCGTGTGTGACACAACAACAGGCCCCGACTGCTTGTCCAAGTCAGAACAGTATGATAACAACAGAGCAACGGATGAATCATAATGGAGAGTTGGCATTCACAGTCAACAGCAGCAAAAGATGGTCGAAAGACTGTGCTAAATTACTCATTCCAAAACTGGAGAGGAAAAAACCTGTATCTTGAGGGTGTAGAGGTGTAGATCTAGTTAGTTCGAGCGTGCCGTGAGGGTAATAATAATAATAATAATAATAATAATAATAAGAAGAAGAAGAAGAAGAAGAAGAAGAAGAATAAGAATAATAATAATCGTCCAGCTGTAGGACCCTTTCAGTGCCTAGCTGCCATGCCACACGAAGGAGGCACGATGGCTGGGATACTGCCAGGTTGCACAAGCCTAGACAGGGGAAGTCGAGTGGCAGAGGTCGGGTTCGAACCACGGACCTTCCGGTCAGTAAATTCACGCTCTAGCCACTTGGTCCATCTCGCCCCCGCCGTGAGGGTTAAGAAAACAAAGACTGTTGTGAGGCTCTAAGAATCGATAGACTGTATTGTTGCAATACGGACAGGTTCAACATGAAGAACGTATTGTTGGTAGTGTGACGAGATTTGAGATTTTTGTGGAGATTTCGTACTGCAAGTGAAGCTAATCTAGCTGAAAAAGCCGACTTTTTAGCATAGATTGGCTTCACTTGCAGGACGAAATGAAGAACGTATTTATAAAATAAGATGACTATATATGACAGATACCGGACAGGGACTAGTTGGTAATATGATGGGGTTTGGAAATTTTTAACGGAGAGCTCGTCCTGTAGGTGAAAGCAATTTATGCAAAAAAGCTGTGCTGTCCATCTCACAAAACTCAGGGGGGTTTCGAACTTGCGACCTCCAGTTTGAGCACTTAATCATTCAGTATTGTGATTACCTCATACTTAGGGAGGCGCCACGATTGAAGGATGAGTAGTGTTTCATCCTGCTTGACTGGAACTTGACCATAGTGCTCATCAGCCACTAGTGGCTGAACGGCTCAGTGGTCAAACTAATAGGTGGGAGGTCGCGCGTTCGAAACTCCCTACTGAAGTTTCGTTGGATGCGCACTGCTGATAATTATTCCCAACAAGGATAAAATAGCTGCACAGCTTTTCAGCATAGATTGGCTTACTTACGGGACGAAACCGCAATCAATACTGAAGTTATTATACCGTTTAGTGATGTAGTGATGGGAAGGAGGAATTTTCGAAGTGAGAAAAAGGATAATATACTAAAACAAAACGGGACGAATTTCAGCAGTTTAGGTTTTAAAGAAAAGAAAAGTACGTAGAACAGAATTAGCAGCTTAGTTGGTGCGAAGGGCCTGTGATATCTACTTACAAGCTTGGAACTTAACAATAGATGCGGACTAACTACTCAGACACGTTGGCGCCATTGAGGACACAAGGTTCAAGGAATAGCACGATTTGTGGAACAAGGGAAACGGCAAAAAGAGACTAAGAGCTTACAATTGTCGGACTGAATCCCAATTTGGTTCCATGGGTCGGAGCCACAAATGAGATGCTCACATCTCCAATATCACCGAACACCTTGCCCAAAATGTACACAACCAGTAAGGCACGACTGAGTTGGGCATCGAACCTGGTAGTCAGAGACATGGAAGACAGGGTTTTCTTCAAGGACTGCGTCTTTGTCTCCGAGGATGGATAGGCAGGCTGAGTAGGAATATCGCCAGCTGCTTGGGGTGGCGGCGGTCTGTGTGGAACAAAGGAATAATGAAACGAAGAAGTGAATTGGGCAGAATTCTTGTGGATGATGAACAATACCAGTGCCAAAAACATCACCAAATTTCTGTGAGATAGTTGCGAATCGGCGTTGAGTTTTAAACAACAGCTGTCCAGCATCGTTGCAATTGTCTCAAGCATGAATCTGAGGTTTTCAGGAGAGAAGAATGATGCATGGGGCATTTTGAGTGGTTAACCTGGTGAGTCGTTCTGTAAACACTGAGAAGCTACCAGTTAAAGTGAACAATGCTGCACCAACAGTCCTGGCAGGATAAAGTGTTATCCTTCAAGGACGCTGATCTGCTGGTAACGCAGTCGTCGAGCTACGATCCCTCAGAGGGATGCCCACGTGACTAACAAAATGCACGTGTATTTAGCAGAACACTCAAATTTCCTAGCTGGTAACAAGATTATGAAGTGTTTGTCATTGAGTGGATCCCTGTACACCCGAGGAATCGGTTGAGATCCTGCTTCGGGATGGAGGCATTTCCATAAGCTGACAAATAAAAAAATGCGAAATGTGTTTCAGGAACAAATTAATCGTTCTAGCTAGTCGTATTATTGTTTGGCCGTTTGGATTTTAGTTCAAACAAATACAGCGGCTTGAAGTCTTCAGAGGACATCGTTCTGCCTACGATGAAAGGAGGGAAGGAGCTGATATCATTGTATGCTTCTTTAGAAAGCGAGATGGTTCAGTGACTAGAGCGCGAATTTAATGATCGAAAGGTCCGTGGTTCGACCCCGGCCTCTGCATCTCGACTTCCCCTGTTTAGGCTTGGGCGAACTGGTAGTATCCCAGCCCTCGTGACTCCTTCGGGGGATATGGCAGCTAGGCACCCAAAAGGTATTACAGCTGAACGATTATTGTTTATTAACTTTACATCAGGTATTACAGCTGAACGATTATTGTTTATCTTAACTTTACATTTTTGCTGATATGCATCAACAAGTGAGTAGCTCGACGAAAGTACTTTCGAGTGCTTTCATCAACAGCAGCAAGACTGGGAGTGACATTCGATGGAAACAGACAGCATGGGCGCAGTCAAAATCGGCCGTGGGGGGCATAGCTTCCTACACGATGGAAACAGACAGCATGGGCGCAGTCAGAATCGGCCGTGGGGAGGGGCATAGCTTCCTACGTGTCAAACCAAGCACAACTTGTGATATGTAAAGATGGTGCATCGTCGCAAACAATCGAGGAACACATTGGAAACTGGATTTTCTTCACTTGGCACTAATCGTACTGCATAACCACACGTGACATGATCCAACGAATACGTTGTATAATGGTTCAAATCGGTCCTGATTAATGTAATTCTGCGTACTCGCATTGTAAGTAGTGTTGTTTTGAATAACCATCGTGGTTGATGACGCAAACTGAGTGGTCCTTCTTGGTCCGGTGACGTGTATCCACTCAATGATTAATTTGTGTGTAAAGGCTATATTGAACACAAGTCATCCACTGCGCACCTTCTACAACCCAAAAGGCCAATGAAAAGTGTTGTAAGGCAACAGCCAGAGAGAGTAAACACCGATGAATTTCGGTGACGTTATCAATTCTCGTCACCACCTTTGGTTATCGAACGTGGCTAGTCAGTAAGTAAAATTCTAGCTGGTGGTACGTTTAGCCGAGTAAAAAACCACTCCTTACCTTAAAAAATCACAAGATCAATGAGAAGAAAGGTGATTTTACAACAGTTGCGTGAAAACCGTTTGAAGGTCACGCAACAGAGGGTTCCAATCTATAGACAAAAGCCTTTCCCTAAATCTACCGGCTGCTGGTACTATCATGTGCACCACAAGACAGTTGGCACACTCGAATTTACCGACACTGGAAAGTTTTCTGTCTACCTTGCAGCCTACACACAGTCTGTTCACTACCAGGCGATGACTGCCATCCAATGGGCTGTAACCTTGAAAAATCGGACGATGCCAACGCGATTCACTTAATTTACGTACCTAACCATGAACTGTATGCAATCGTGCGCGGTTGATACAGTATCTGGATAGCCGAATTACAGCTGTTGTATTCAACCTGTTTTACGGTGGCATACTGAACTTCGAAGACGCAAAACGAATTCATCATTACTGACAGCGAAACCAGATAAGAATACGTGCTTCACTTTTTTGCAATTACGTCAGTTTATTTTAACAAAGCCTCACAATTGAAAGAAATAAGAGAGAGAGAGGGAGACTTTGGGCTAGCCTACCACAAATATCTGAATTGCGTACACCTCCAACACTCAGCTGGACAATCTGGATGGAGATTGACAATATGAGCAGCACCGACATCGGTTAGCCACCACATTGTTCAGTGTCTCCAGCCGAACACAGGATCAAGTGGACCTCATTCTGGAAGGTGGACAGCACCTAAATCACCCAAACGTTTTGTGATATCCTTCATTCCGTTCTGACATGTCAAATTCTGTCCAACCTACCACTCCGAATAGGACACGGAAAGCAGCCATCGTTTCAACAATCTTGAAGTCAAAGGACACCACCAGTGTAGGGCGTCTATGCACGTGGTAGAGTGTAAAGATGGGGTCCACACAGCCTCCTCCGAGACGTAATCTTGATTGCTGTTCATGTGATCTCACACGAGTGCTCAAGAATGAACGGAATTACTAGAAACATGATCGGCCATGAAAGATGCTCGCTGTGCAATCGATCCTAGCGCTCGGTTGGTTGCAATCCAGAAGATGCCAGATGACACGGTATCCCCGGGGTCATATTGAAAATTCTTAAGTACGACAGCGTCAAACGAACACCACTGTTCGATCCAGTGTTTGCTAAATCTGCGAAAATTTGATTATCACGTCCGTCCATTCTCCTAACTTGGTTGTTCATAATTCCAGTGGGGATCGTGATATCCGTGTACTATAACAACCAGAGGAGCTTGAAAAGGTCCCTATGACAGTTATATCTGCAGTTGGTTGGAACATGAATATTTAATGAACGACACGTGTCTTCGGTCACCGGTTATCGACTATTCCGACTGGCCAGGCTAGCTTGACTGTACACATTCGGCTGACTCCAGGAATCAAATCGAGCAGAGCATATTTGGCACTCGCAGTCAATACGATTCGCACAACATTGAGGCCGCGAGAATAAGGCTACCGGTGGATCACAGATAAGCTAATCTGTAACACCCTCTCGGTGCCTAGTTGTCATGCCACCCGAAGTAAGCACGATGGCTGGGATGCTGCCAGGTTGCACAAGCTTAGACAGGAAGAAGTCGAGATGCAGAGGTCGGGTTCGAACCACGGACCTTTCGATCAGTAAATTCGCAGTTCAGGATTGAAGCCCGACTGCTGATGCTATTGCGTATATCAGGTGTATTTTGGTTACGTTTCTAAAAGCATTTCGACCGTTTTGAGCAATGCGTCTGTGGACACGGTCAGTCGTTGTGTGACCGGGGTTCGTGGCGTTTGATGCCGGCTTTCTCTAAACTGTCCTTCCGCGGAAGGATATGAATATAGGGATACTGGCTGCATGGGCAAACACTTTATTGATCATATACACCCGTCGCAGCGAACTTCGGAACCAGCTCCCCACACAATTTCTCGTGGTCATGAAAACGCACATTTCCTCACTGAACTGCTTCCGTTGGCCATCCAGACATCAACGAACCTTAGGGAGCTTCTCGAGCCAGTGTTGCCTGCACATTCACTGCAGCACTGGAGCCGAGCTATTATGACAATGCGGCAGATTTAGGCCAGTGTTTCAGGTTTCGTTAACTGTCTAACTCGTTAGCAGGGTATCAGTAACCAGTTAATAAACAAAATGAGATAAAATGTAAACAGCACAGGTGGAAACGAACCACTCAACGAGGAAGTAAATCGAGCAACAGAGGGAAATAAAAAGCTCACTTTTCCATGTCCATAAGTTCTACATACATTTGATCGAGCTTTGTGTCTCCAAGTTTCTTGTTAGCAAATTCACAGTTATTAGACAGTGAAGCCAAGGTTGAATCCTCTGCCAGCTGCGCACCTTCTCCAGATCTCTGAGATTTCCGGGGCCGAAATAGACGGCGTTTGCGACCCGGATCTCGCTGCTTCTTCGTTACTTGCTCAGACGATGAGCTCCGTTCTACAATGTATCGAGGCATCAGAGCCGCAGTGATGAGTAGATGCAGGCACAGAGCACTGATGATAACTGCTCCACCACGCGTCCCATAAACTTCATTCAAATGGGTCATCAGGGAAGGAAATGCCATTTGACCAACGCTAACCCCAGCCACGCTAATTCCGTTGGCCAAGCCGAGATAACGTCGGAAACACTGTCCCACAACAGAGAAGACGGTGAAGTAAATGCAAGAGAGCGAGGCACCTGTAGGAAAGACAACAATGAGGTTCGTTAAACTGTGAAGGTTAAATATACTGATAATCAAACACTAACACCTTCCGTTTGTATTTGGGAAGGATCTGAACCAAGGAGAGCAATATCGTCCGTATGTTTAATGTCTGTGAAGGAACGTCCCGGGAGCATTTCGACTCCCGAGGTTTCGGAGGCAGGCAGTGAAATTTCAAGCAGCATATCAATAACAAAGTTGAAGAGAAAAGAGAACAGTCTTGTCTTACACCCATCACTGGACGTGGTGAACTCATACAGAGCTTCCCGTATAATCGTACGTGCCCACAGGAATTCGCATACAGTGCCCTCATGAGGGAGGGAAAGTTGGAAGGGACACCTTTGATCGCCAGACACTGCCATGTTGGCCAGAGGCATTCACTCTTCTCAACAGTCCTGGTATCAAATCCCACCTAAATTGTCTGATTCTGCACAGATTTATGTGAAATGATGCGCGAAGGTGCCTTTGGCTGTTAGAATCATCTTCGAGTATATTGCCTCCAGGCTTACATTCAACAGTTCTAACTGTAGTACCAGCTGTTCAGGCTCATAAGTGTGGCACTCAAACCCAGCAATGGTGGTCGTTCTGGACACACTAGCCAGAGAGTGTTTCTAGTCGTCTAATTGTGTCTAATTGAAATACGTTGACTTATTAGTGTCGGGAATCTAGGGAAAACGAAAAGGAATACTGAATAAGGGAATTTAAAAGCCCAAAGGCGTTCCACGAAGCAGATACTTCTGACGGATAGTAAAGCATCTGTATTATGGGTCCATGGTGGCGAGGAGCCGTGTGGGAATGAACAGGGGCATACACGAGTGCCCAGAAAACGAGGATCAAGACACGATCTCAGAATGACACCTTGCCGTCTGGTACGCCTTGCTTACTTGCTATCCACGTCGTTTCCATGTAAACATGTCTAGATGGGGCATCCTGCCTTGTGTGTGGATCTATTCTCCTCAGAACATATTACGCATCCAGTAGGACCCCAAAAGAGGTCCCACAAGAGTGCTTTATCGGAGTCTACAACAGCATCCCTCGTCATTCGTGTGAAAAGATGCTAAATACAGCCTATTCCTGTGGCCCCCTTTTTGAGTGAGCAAGGATAACTCTTCAATATGCGAGCACGAAAAAGTGCAGAGAATGCAGCAAAACAAACCTACCAAGGCCAACTCCAACAGCCAATACCCACAGTCCGATACTAGGCGAGAACGCAGCGACGAGCAGGCTGAGGCAGGAACCAATTGCACCCGCGAAGACCACAGGGCGGCTACCGTATCGCTGGGAAATGTAGTGATTGACTAGTGCTGAAAAGGGACACATGCAGGAAACGTTAAGTAGTAACCTTCATTGAAGCTTGTAACTGGCGTTGGAAGGTTATCGGGAATAGTGCAGAAGGGCAAGAAACTATTGATCCTATGAAGTAATCTTTCTGATAAGGGGTGGAGATAAATCATCCGCCCAGATCTTAGGAAAAGAGTAGAGCTCTCCCTTCGCCTGTCTAATAGAAGTGTATTCCGGGCAACAAGTGCAACTGTGTCTACAGTTCTGCACGTGCAACACCTTTCGATGAATTTAATATCCTCGAATTGAAGAGGAAACACATCTCCTCGATCTGTATTGACCATAAGATGAGATGGCGAAGACTTAAACGATCACCAACTAGTTTGATCAACTTTACATTAACCCTCATGCATAGAAACATGGAAGCGATAACAATTTCAAGCCGTTGCCGCACAGCGGTCGACAGATCTACTCAGACTATCCAACAGATGCATAGGTAACATAGTAAGTCTTGAATAAAAGGATTCCACATCGAAATGTGAGTGTAACGAAAAAAAAGGAAACAAACTGAACCTGTAGCTTGGTATAGCGAAAATGCAAGTGGGCATAACATGAATAAAGTGCATGACTCTGCGCACGAGTAGACTGCACCGGTGCGACTCAAAATGAAGCAAACGGAGGACGGTATAATGAAATGATAATCTGGTCGCCAGTTAGCACTGCATGGTGCAGCAATAACCTTGATTACATCCACTCAGACACGCGGCAAACTGTGTGGTGCGGGTGTTTAGAGGTGCAAGAACCGCATAACGCTTGTGGTGGATTCGAACTAGGTCCCCTTATCGAGAAATACACTCATTTGCAAATCAATTTGGTTTTCACGAGAGACTCAAATGAATCCCTCGTTTATGATATCTTTTTCTGCTTCCAACTGCAGTATGGTTTTTCAAACTTCTTGTAAAGGTACTTGGTGGATGAAAGTTTATGGGTAAACCAAAAATTCACACAGCAGCTGAGCAAACACAAACAAGGAAATGAGGTAACCAAAAACGGAATGTCGAGGTCCGAAAAATCTAACAAGGGAAGAAGACAGGGTTCAAGGGTTAGTTTACAAAGAATACAGATTTCTGCTTATAACTGTGGAAATCGAGTGGCACCAAGGTATTTTTGGGACTAGACGGCATGTATACCTCGGACTCTACCTAAGAACCCTATCATCCAAGTACCGTCGAGATAGATTGGCTATTGTACTTCAGTTCCCATGTTAAGACCTTGTCACCTGGATGATCTTTTTGTCGGTCGAGTGGGATGGAAAGTTCGTTTACGAAGCCATCTCTCCAACTACTCACCACGTGCTAGTGATAACAGGTTCGCCTTGCAAGGCCTGTATCCTGAGTTCAAATTCTGGCTGCGCCACAGATACGCACTACTGATGAGGTCAAATAAGAGCCAGTGTCGAATACATGCTTGCGCCCTTTGATGTGAAATCAACAGAATAGTTGCGCCAGAAGTGGAAAAAGGTTGTTCAAATGAGTGATATGAATGCAAATTCCCGCAACCAAATATTACTAATGCGTTGAAATCAATCAAACCAACAGCATTATCACAACCTGTTGTAACATGCTGAGTTTTTAAATATTAGGGAGATCCAACCAAATCTACGCAAACAATTGGAGTTTGTGGCTATTACCGTCGCAGCCCGATGAGGTTATCTCTATGACTTTTTTGTGTCTCTCTCAGGGTTGATCGTGTCTTCCATGCAACCTTTGTCTGTTGCCTTGCAACGCTGCTGCGGTTTGTACTTTCGAGGTGGTCACGTGTTTTAAACCGTGTCGTATGTCTGATATGTCTCGTCTTGAGTAAGCGGCTGACTGAAGCTACACGAATTAACTGAATTCGCGCTGAACATTTGCGTCAGATTGAGAGAATGGGTCAGAGTTCCAAGTCTACAACAGATCATTAGCGAGGGACAGCTTTAAACGGGGCGAGATGACTCAAGTGATAAGAGCGCGAATATACTGGCCGGAAGGTCCGTGGTTCGGACCCGACCTCTGCCCCTCGACTTCCTCTGTCTAGGCTTGGGCAACTTGGCAGTATCCCAGCTCTCGTGCTTCCTTCGAGTAGCATGGCAACTAGGCACCGGAAGGGTGTCACAGCTGAACGATTTTTTCCCCTCCGACATTGCAAACATCACGAAACTGACAGGCGTGTGGATTACGATCGAATGACCCGACCAACCTTTCCCTCCTAACCTGTGTTCATAAAGTCCACAAAATTTATAATGAGACGTGTACTGATGACGATTCCCAGAAAAGGTAAAACAGTTGTAAAGTGCTCCATAGCTTTTCATCATAGAGTAGCCTCAGGGCGAAAGCCCCACTGAAAACTCCAAAATCTCCGTACGCTAGCTTCAACCTATAAGTAGCTCAGATGAAGAATTATTACACAAGATGGGCGAAGAAATCGTCAACGACCACTTGACCAGGCGACGTAGTTTCCGTGATTGAAGGGTAAGTGGCTTTATATCCTGTCCTTGTGCGAGCTGATCAGCAGCTCTTGGCCGAACGACTAAGTATTCACACTACTAACAGGAGTTCATGGGTTCGAGGCCTCTGGAATTACAAGATGCACATTCATAAAAAAATAGATAGGCTTCACTTACAGGGCGAAATCTCCATTGGAGATCCATAACTACATTCACGTTACCATCAACACAACATTTTCGCATCTACGATTTTTCAAGCGCAAACATCAAAGGCGATCCAATTGTAGCCGTAAAAACGACCAGATTCGAAATCAACCAACTCTTTGAACTAAACCAGCTGTCATTCATTGGTTGCGGTGGTACGAACGCCAAGTTCCGCTGACCTTTGAAATATAGCTGTAATATCTAGGCGGCTTAGGATCTTACAAGATCATTAGAGCTAACGGACTATATGCAGTCGGGATTCAGTAGGGAGTATGAACAGACAGATGAGGGCAGTAGATGCAGTATTGAGAACTGGTTCTGCTAAAAAAATGGGCTAATCTAAAATGGCCCAATCAGGAAGAGCTGAGTAAGGACCAGCAATAACGAGCAGGTACCAAATGACCGCACAGCTAAGGGCACTGAGGCAGTGTAAACAGATAGCAGTTCGAACCACGGAGCTTCCGATCAGTAAATCCACGTTCTGACCACTGAGCCGTCTTACTCAACTGTAATCGTGACTTGACAAGAACTCCCTGTGACAGTCCAAATGGCACTTGATAACATCAAGATCATCCTCTACTCAGACAACCGAGACTTGCGAGTTTCGTATAGTTTAAACCGGTTTCGAACAGAACTGACGTCGTACAAAATGGCGACGCGATCCCGGAAAAGTGGGTTATCTGTGTATTGTTTGCAGCTAGTCAAGTAAATTAGTGTTTTACGTACCTTAAGTTCAGCTCAGCTGTATCGCAAGTCAATGGTAATGTGGACCGACTCGTTAAAAAAGTCGTCGGAAATTATTATCAGTAAGACCAAGGGCAGTGGTACCAAGGAGGAATCTAGTCGAGTACGGAATATGATAATTACGCTAAGCGGAATTTCCTAGGGGTGCATACCAAAATGCTCGCTTGTTAAGACGTTAACTAGACGCTCATCGTGGTTCCATTTTACCTGGAAAGGTGTCCCAGCGATCTGACAATCAGGCTAGGACAAGGAAACAGCAAGTCTAGTAGGAAAGAATATAATCATGAACAAGCTCGTGAACAGGATTGAGAGAACAACAAAAGCTATCGGTTGTAAGATGAGTGCCCGGAGGACAAATCACAATCAGTATGTTTAGTAAGTGTGATTTGGGGGAGTTTTTACAACCTCTTCCATTTCTCTAGTCTATTGTTTTAACATTTATCCATCCAGCCTTAAGCACATGATTGCCTTGTGGCACAATACGTTTGGGATTCGTTATTGAGAATCGGAGATGTCCATTAACCTACAACAAAATCCAGAATCCACCGGAAAACAAGGGAATTTCATTAAGGCAGATGAAAAAGGAGGGATCGGCCAAAACTATGGTGGGAACAAAGAAACCGCGAATTCGAAACACCATTAAGATAGGTCTCATCGGAATCTTACGAAAAGGACAGAGATGATCGCTTTTGTTTTTCCAAAGGAGTTCTTATAACTGCGGTTGGATCGGCAACACTACCATATTTGTTCTTGCAGAGCATACGACTGATAGAGGTCAAATGATAGGGACACTGTTTAGCGGTATTTTTGACAGAGTACCACTAGAAAAGATGTAGTTTGTGAAGAGATTACAGTATTCGTGGACAGATTGGCAAAGGCCCATTATGTGATAAATGTGTAGAAATCTGTGTATAAACATCTTTGGCAAACTGACTGGTTGAGCCCTTCTGAAAACAAGAGAAAGTCAAATCCTCAGCTCTTACGGGGAGCTGCTCTTTTGACATCAGTACTTTTAGTGTTCTCCAGCGGTGATCTTCTCCAAAGAAAACAGCATCTCGCAACTTCTGCTGAATGAACTGTCAAATCACCATTTGGCGAAAGTGCCAAGATTGACTGCTTGATACGATGTTGAGCGCAGTGAAAATACCTCCTCGAATGGTGAAGAAACGTCCGCAGATCAGTTGTCAAGCTCGGCGAACAGCCATCTGATCAACTGCCACTGAATGTACTCGAGCTACCAATATTCTTACAGTCGATCAAAGAGGACAGAGCTGCGACAACCTGTCTTGTGACAGTCAGAAACACCCGAGTTTTGGCAAACAGCCACCACAATCAACTAGGCTATGAGCAACGGTTTAAAGTTCACACTATCTGTAACAGAAAGAATGCGATTGCACACAACACACACACACGAGAGTGGCGTGAATCAACAAACCAACACTTGGTCGTACACTTCATACATTCCAGTACCATTAGTGAAAAGACAACCGACCCTGGAGACTTCTATCCAAATGCTTTCAGAAACCATTTCTGTCTGGCTCAGCTGAAGCGAACAGCAACGAGATAACTGATAACTGAACCGATCAAACTAAGTTCGCCACTTTAACTAAATGCTCCTTGTCGTGAGCTAGTCATCCAGGATGAAGAGCCATTTTGGCACGAACGGGTGGGAGTCATTCGTTACCATGAATGCT